CACAGGCAGGGGGTGGGGATGGGCTCACATGGGGTGGGTCCTCTCGAGGAACAGTGAGTCCGGGCCTTGCGGGATGCAGCTGCAGGCTTCTCCTGAGTGATGGCAGGTCACAGGTGGGTTTTATTGGTCGGGATGGCTAGGAACTAGATACTGTATACAATCCTCACTGCCTTTAAACGGGAGCGGAAGGCCGGAGCCTTGAGGTGCAGCTGTGCAGCTGTGTGCCCCTGACCACCCACAGACCTGCCTTCAGCAGCACGGAAGCCTGGGCTCAGGGGTGGCTTGTGAATTCTGCCCTCGAGGCGCAGGTACCTCCACTTACTTGAGTGCCCCCCTGATCTAGCCTGGATCCCTTCTCGCTCAACATGGAGGAGTCCTGCTCAGCTCCGTGGACATGGGGTGTCTGTGAGGGGCTGTGGGGTGAGGGGAGGCGCTGAGACAGGCGTGGGCCAGGGAGGCCATCTCTGTGCACAGCAGCTGATGGATGGATGGAAACTTCCCTGGGTTTGTGTCCTGCAGGTTGCCCTCAGAGCGCTGCTCAGAGCTGTGCGGAAGGGGGTGTTCAGAGCGCAGGGACACGGGAATAGCCCCTACCTGGGCCTGGAGGTGGCAGAGGAGTGTGCCCTGCGCTGGCTGTCCAGTGGAGGGAGATGTCCCTGGGATTTTGCATCTCCATAGCCAGTGATCGGCCCAGGGAATCTGAGGCCCAAGGCAATAAAGGAAGGGAGGGGATGCCCAGGGCAAAGCCCCTGGGGTTGGGGCCAGACTCTCCCTCAGGGACGCAGAGTCCCTCCTCCCTTCCCAGGAGCAAGGACACGCAGGGCAGATTTTCTGCTGGGCATTGCTGCCGCTGTCTGAGGGGTCCTGTCCATACAGGGGCCGTGCCAACCCTCCCCACGAACTCAGGTCTCTGCCACCCACCCAGGCACTCATTGGGAAGAAGAAAGCGCATGAATTGGGGCAGAAGGCAGATAGTAGCAGGCTCAGGGCTGCACGGCTTTCTGATGTGAGGTGAGAAAAAACATCTTGCCAACACTTTTGCATCAAAGAGAGAAACTTGCTAATTGAAAATTGGTTTGCACGGAGGGAAATTAGGGGGCTGCCAGCTATGTAAATGAGCGTATGCCCCATCCCACAGCCACGGCGGAGACTGGGAGGAATGGAGTGACTTAGAGGTTTGAGGGTCCAGGGGGGTCTGTGGAGCCATGGCGGACTTTCTGCCCCTCCCCCCTCTGCTGCGGTGGTCAAGGCCCCCTGCAGCCTCTGAGAAGCCCGCAGGCTCTGCCCTTGCAGGGCTGGGTCAAGGCTTGGAGATTGGAGGGGTTTGTTAGCTACGGGCACCCGAGTCCTCCGCTGGGGACGACTGCGAGGGCTCCAGAGGGGCACTAACCCGGCGCAGTGCGCACGGGATAATCTGGAGGGGGCGGTGTCCAGTGTCAGGGGGGCCCGGTTGCCCAGCGTCCCCAGCCAGAGGCTGGGCTGAGCGCCGTCTGGCGGTGACTGCCGGTAAGGCTGCCAGACAGGCTCTGTGAGCTGCTGGGGCCCCAGGGTCCTGGAGGGGCGTGACCCCAGCCTCCAGGGAGCAGCGGGTGGCGGAGGTCTCAGGCGCCAGGGGTAGTGGAAAGCCGGCCTTTGGGTCAGAGAATCCTGAACATACTGGGCGCCCCCGTCTTGTACAAGTGTCCGGAGGCGGCGACCTGGTACGTGGTGTTGGGTCAGACCCACGGTCTGGCAGGGACTCTAGGCACAGGTGCCCCTGCTCCATTTCAGCGCACCAGGGACCCACCAGGGGCTTGGGATGGTGCCAGGCCAATTGGCCTGGAAGAAAGACCCTCATGGGGCACGAACTCTCTGGCACCCCCTAGTCCAGGTCTGCTCCACACCTTCAACCTCACCCAGTCTCCTGTCCTGCGCCCCACCCAAGGGTCCCAGGACTGCTATCTGAGATCCTGGGTCAGGGGTCCAGGGTCTGCAGTGGGGGCTCCGGGGTGACGGTCCAGGGTCGGGAGTAGGGTTTGCGGTCCAGGGTCGAGGGATCTGGGGTGCAGGGACTAGGGTTCACGGCCTGGGGTCTGGAGTTCGCGTTCTGGGGTCCGAGTCGGCGGTCGGTGGTGCGTGCGCAGGGGTCCATAGTTTGGAGTTCGTGGTCCGGGGTCCAGGGTCCCGGCTTCGGGGTGTGGGGTCCGGAGTTCTGGGCCCAGGGTCTTGGGGCTAGGGTCCGGGATCTGGGATCCAGGGTCCTGGTCCAGGTCTGGCGTCAAAGGTTCAGGGGGTGGGAGCGGGGAAGGGAGCGCTGGGTCTCGGAATTGGGTCGGGGGTCTCGGAGGCGAGCCGGGCGGGGGCG